TGGCCATTTACTGAGAGCACTTTACAGGTGGCCAGCAATGGGCTGTAGGAAGTGAGGCATGCAGCTGTGGCACAGATGTTGTCAGCACCTTCCCTGCCATGCCATCTGCAGGAGTGACTTGGTGGAGTGACAGTCACTCTCCACCAAAGAAAATCAGGCATCCATGTGGGAGTGTCTAAAAGCCAAGCTGCTGAGCACAGGAGAGTTTTAAGCTATTAAATGAGAAACACSAAGGGAACTGAGCACTCATCTTTGATGTTTCCCTGGAGAAAGAAGGATGTCTGCAGTGTCTTACCTGCTGTATTCCATAACCAGGGATTACAAAATGTGCCCAGGAGGCTAATTTCCAAACCAGCATCACCCTCCCTGTCATTTTAACAAATGGCTCCACATTACAGGAAAAGCTGCCAGTTCATGGGGCATTTTGCACAGAGGGGATTGTCACCTCTTACTGAACTCAGACTGCTCTGTAGTCAGAAGTGTGAATTTGTGAGAGCAGAAGGCCAAGGTCCCTGCAGGGGACTGGATCAGTAGCCTTGGCTGCAGACACTTAGCCTGGGGACAGGCACTGTGTGGCTCCTTGGGCTACTGAGAGATTTGAAACACAGCACTGCTAAAACACAGAAAAATGCCSTAGAGTGGGAGCCAGAGTTCTGTGCCCAGAAAACACAGAGCCCACTGAGCCCTGGGTCACGGCTGCTCTCTGCTGCTGCTGCAGATCCTGCCTTTCTCAGTGGCCCAAGAGTAATGATGACCATTCCCACCCCAAATATGCAGCACTTGATATTCAGGGCATTTTTCTAATCTCAGGGAGTGGAGGCTCAAACTTTCATGGGATTAGAAGAGCCTAGGATGCAGGTTGGTGTTTCCCAAAGCAGTGCTCTCTGTTATCAGTCACAAGTAGGTCATTATGTTTTGTGATAAAGTCTTCTTAACTGAGCTCCAGGATAGTTCAGAGTGGTGAAATGAATTCYGAGAGGCAGGTCAGGCCCCAAACAGCCCCACAAATTCAGCACAAGCCAAGGTGGTCAGCCCAGCTCAGCCAAAGCCTGTGCTGTGCCTGTTGGTGCTGCAGTAGGCTCTCAGGGGAGATTTCCCTGGGGATTTAAGTGCATAAAACAACAGAGGCTGCGTTTCCCTCAGCTAGTGACAGCAGGGTAGGACAAGATCTTACCTTGATTCTTTCCCCTGCTGGGAGCTTTGTAAGCTCCTCCTTCTCCTTCACCCCAAGGTATTTACAAGTAGCACAGCCTGCATGTGAAGTCTTTCTTATCTGAATGCAGCTTTTAGAAAATTTTATTTCATATACAGAAATAAATGGCTCATAACAAGATCAACTGCTGTCACTTTCCCTCTTCCTCTGGCAGAGAAGGGAGCTCCCTGACAGCTTCCTTGCGTGTCACCAGGCACCTCCAGCCCTTGAACAGGGCTTTTCACAATGTACATTTTGGATATAGACTCTTAAATTCTGCCTAAGCACCACTTTGCATACATAAATCTCWTTTTGGAAGTGAGGATTAATCCATGTGTCTCACTTTATCATTTGCAAAATGGAGAATTTTCTTACCTGACAAGAAAAGTGAGAGGATAAATATTTCAGGGACTACGAAGTACTCAGACAACTCAGTGCGGGTGACAAAAGTACTTCGGCTAGACAGGAAAACGCTGCTTTAAAATTCCCAGAAGAGCAGGACAGAATAGAGATGAGATCCAGCGTTGTGGGAGGCAATTGCAGCACTTTGTGTGATAGATGGCATCATTCCCAGCACYGTAAAATGGATCTGTGCATAGACCTTCATCCCTGGTACACTCCATTTCTGGCATGTGCTTTATCTGCACTCTGTGCCACCAAACAGTGCTGTTCWTCCTCCTGCCCCTTAATTCCTGTTTGGGGTGTCAAGTCCCACTGAGAGAGATTTGGGATAGGAGTGGTACCGGATTTGTGCTGCTAATTGTTTTSATGTTGCAGGACAATCTTTGCCATCCCTGCAGGGATGTAGCCTCGGAGCTGTGTCCTACAGAAATGCAGGAACAGAAGATTTAGGGGGAAATGGATTTATTTGACTAAATATTTACCACATGCAGATCTCGGAACACTCTCCCCCCAGGCAGAGCACCCCTGGGCTGTCAGCTCAGGCCGCTGCAAACCCGTGAGTGATGCCGGGTGGCAGCTCCGGCACTTTGAGCTGCTGYTTGCAGGCTCGTCCCACGAGAGGGCAATGCAGCCACATCCATCCCACTGCATCCTCACAGCAAAGGATCAGGCTCTGGGACCGGGAATTCCATGCTRCAATGTATGGATAGTATTTATAGAAAGAGCTTTTACTCTTTTGAAGTGTTGCTTATAGCAGTAAAATATAATAAGTCTGCATTAAATTTCATCTCACAGAAGCTAATGTGGMCCTCTGCTGCTATCCAGTCTAGGACACCTCAGCATCCAAAGAAAACCATTTTTCCCGTATGTCAGACATTCTGTTAAACAATTAAATTGGTGGCTCAGTGCTACAATTCATCCTCAGGGGTAGCCCGTTTATCAGATATTTTAATAGGACTAAGTTTCAATGTAATTCTATACATGTGTATGTTACTTCCATTGTCTCTTATGCAACTAAATATTTTATTTTGTATCTCACCCTCGGGTCTGTAACCTCCTTTGTTGGGCCGACAAATGTCTGTGTCACCTTTTAACCTGGTTGATCCGAATAAGCCTTTTGAAAGTGCCACTGACAGCAAATCACTGCGGTCTATAAAAGGTTTATCTTCCATTTGACTGGAAATCGCTAACCATGTGCTGGACACTGTTGATAATGCCAACCAGAAATGCTTTTTTTCCCCACAGGTTTCATATTCGGTCTTATATTCCAAAAGACTGTGCATGTTTTGCAGCTGCCTTATCAGATGCAGCTGAGATATTTCATTGTGTGTGGTTCAGTTGCAGAAACGTGRTTTCTCTTTGCTTTGCATCACACAGGAATTTCTGGCCAGCTGCRGGCTCTGGTAGTGATGTGCAGTGTCACCAGCCATTAGAAAGGAGAATGCAGAGCCGTTAAGCAGATCTTGACAGGTAAATGAGAGGAGAACCACATCAGCAATGCTGTGATGAACGCTGTGGGAGGGAGGAAACACATTCTTAATGGCAACTGCTTMAAATGAGTAAGGTGAGCTAAAGGAYCTTGCTGGCTGAGACTGCACTGTTTGCAGCTGGATGAGCAGCAGATGGTGGCAGGAAGGCTGGGATGCAGAGAKGTCTGGCAGCATTGACTCCTCCGGTGTCAGCCTGCAGCCAACTGTGCCAATGTGGGCAGCACCGTGCTGCAGGTTCTGCCAGGCCCACGGCCACACAAGGGTCAACATTTTTTGCATGGCATAGACATTACTGTTCGTGCTTCTCCCACATCTCTTGTTATGTAATTGCTATAAACAGTCTGGAGGAATGGAGGAATGAAGCAGTTTGATTAGTCACAGTTTGTGAAATCGTGGCTGGTGCACGTGTCCTCGCACAGCCCACGTCAGGCACACGCAGGAGGCCGTCATTACCCGTGAGGATGAGCTGCCACCCGCCCAGGTCAGGACAGGACAGTGGGAAGCAGAGAGTCATTTATGCCACAGGGATTGCAGCAGAGCTGGGGTGGGAAGGGGAGCCARCCTTACAAGACTGGACAAAAGTGTACTCAGAAAATTGCCTGGACGAAGCATTCCTGTATTGATGAGGACAGATAAGTCTCTAATGATTCTGTGCCCTGCTSTGAGAAGTAGCTGTGCTGCCATTATGAAAAATTAAAAATTAATTTACTCCCTGTTTTGTTTTGCCTTTCCTTTGGACACCATGTGTGGGCAGGGAGCATTGTTACCTCTGCATTCCTGCCCGCGACTTTTCTGCTGGCTGGACAGGCACCATACTCCCAATGAAGGAGACTGATGTTCTATTTCTCCTCAAAAGGCATATTTGAAAGGGCTTTTTAATGAGTCTGTAGTTTCCAAAATTACTCGGAGAAAGACACCAGGAAGCTGTGCTCAGAAAAAGSTGAGGTGGGAGCGGTGCAGCCAAGGCTGGGCACACACGGAGCACACACCACGCTGCCAGGAGAGAGAAAATATTTCTGATAAGAATGTGAAGCAGATTTCAAGCACGAGTGAAAATAGTCGTACATCAGGCATGGCAAAGGGGCAAAGGGCACACCAGGGCCAGGCTGGGAGGCTGCTGTCCTCCTGTCTGCCCCATCACACCCCTGTGGAGAGGCCAGAAGGCAACAGGCAGCACCAAAAGGAGGATCCTGCTGGTTATGGGGAGCAAACCATTGCCCAGGCCAGGACCAGGGCTGGGGCTCTGCAGGCCCTGCCCAGAGTTGATTCCAGTAAGAAAAGCCAATGAGGAAGAGCACTGGGGGTGTCTGTCCTGGTCTGGGGGCAAACCCTGCTGTCCCAGCCTCACCTGCTGGGCCCTGGCTCAGTGACAGAGCTGCCCCACAGCCCCAGCCATGTCTGACCATCCTCGGCTCTGCAGCAATCCCATATCACTGTTCCCATCCTGGCTCTGCTCCAGGGCTGCTCTGGTGACAGGACAGCCTGAAACCTAAAGTATCACTATTTATAGGTTCATTTTCTTCTTCATTAAAATAGTGGCCTTCTCCAGATCAATTTTCACAAGCTTTTCAGTGCACTTCCACACTAAGAAACCATTGGATGGAAAGCTTCCTTCACATAACAAGATCTGCTTCTTGGAAAAGGACCATTTGGGGAAAAAAGCTTTTCCAGCCCTCAGAACCAAATGCCAGCCAGCAACAAAAAAGAGAAAAGAGAAAAAAAAAATAATGGAAATGATAAAACAGTTATGTGACATTTAAAATGTGTTTCTCTACTTGTATTAAATATTTGACAGTAAATTGCAATAGACTTTTAAGCAAAAACAAACTTGAGTGGACTTAGAAGAAATGTTACCTGTAAGATACATATGTAAATATGTGCAAATGGGGCTATACAGTTTTCATTAAAGCATCATAAAGAAAAAAATACAGATTTAGTGTGATATGCAGTTTGTAAACAATTCACAAATCTCCAGTTAAATTTGAGCACTGTGATGGATGTGCACATGCAGATGTTGGATTTTGGATAATTGCCACCGTTTCACTGGTAAAAAAAAAAGAGAGGCAAAGTCTGAAGAGTTTTGTCAGCTCGGCTGCTTCCAAAGTGATCTCCCACCCATGCACAGTCCCACTTTCAAGGTGCCTCTTCCCACTGTCTGGTGAAGTAAATACATGTTCTTGGTAGCTAAACATAAGCAAAGAGATTCATATTTTTATCTGTTATTTGATTACCACCTTTGCTACAAGATTTGCAGTCAGTATTCTACAGCATMCAGATGAATGACACGTTACAGAACTGGGGCATCAGCCACTACTGACTAATCACAGTTTCATTCATTATATTTTGCATAATTTAAYGGGCTGAATCAGCTTATCATTAAGGGAATTTGCAAACCATTTAGAGCCTTTGCAGTCAAGTTGATGACAACTTCCTTTTCCCACAACCAAAGCTGTTTCMCCGAGTACCTGCACAGTGACTTCCTGCTTGGGATGTTTACCTATTTCACAGGGAAGGTCAGGAATTTCAAGTGAGACAGATTGGCAGAGTTAAGCTCAATGGGAGCCTGACCCCAGGATCTGTAACCAATAGATTATATAATAGAAGTTTATTACATTTCAGAAGAAATTACAAAACTAAACATTAAGAGACAGATTGACTCTCCTGTGGGGTCACTGTTCATTAAATTTCCCACTGCTTTTACAATCTGAGCTGCTACAGTCATTTAGCTTTTAGCTCAAGTCATTAAAGCAAGAAGATTGTTTCTTTATTACCTTGTGACCATTCTTCATTTTAATGACATTTTTCAAGCTCTCATCTTAAAACTGGCAAACACTATTAAAAAAACAAACCTGAAAACTGTGCCTTCTGAGGCTTAAACACAAACAAACACAGTTGCTTCCATCCTTCTCATTTAATATCTGACAGGCACTGATTTGTGCCAGGCAGGGAACCAGGTGCCTACTGGAGAGGGCTCAGTGAGGATGCAAACCTTCCCAGAAGCTGCTGGTAGACTCAATCAGCTATGMAGGTCTCATCCTGTGAAGCAGCATTTTGTGGGGGAGGCTGTAGGAAAGTGCCACATTTTGGCAGGTAAGAAATCAGGAGTAGGAACAGGGGATGATGCAGTTGAACAGAGTAGGACGTGCCTGGGAAGGATTTTGACACTGGGAGTGTGTGCAGATGCCTTGAGACACCACAGTGCTGTAGCTGCACCAGAAAGTAATGACTTCAACACCTCTGACATCTTTTGTCTTCTCCTTGTCTCTTCCATAAAACAATATGCAGATTCTGAACAGATACTATGACAGAAGGTCATCCAGGTACATCAGAGAGGATTGGGAAAGAGGGCCTAGAAAACAATAGGGAACTGTGGAGAAACTCCCTGCAAGAGATCTCATCCACCAAATAATCACAGAATGGAATCACAGACTGGAATCACAGAATGGAATCACAGAATAGAATCACAGAATGGTTTGGGTTGGAAGGGATCTCAAAAATGATCTCATTCCACCCCCCCTACCATGGGCAGGGACACCTTGCACTATCCCAGGCTGCTCAGAGCCCCATCCAACCYGGCCTTGAACATTTCCAGAGATGGGGCATCCACAGCTTCTCTGGGCAACCTGTGCCAGGGCCTCACAACCCTCACAGGGAAGAATTTCTTCCTAATATCTAATCTAAATCTACTCTCTTTCAGTTTGAAGGTGAAGAAAGACTTAAAAAAATTCTTATTAGGTAGATAAACCATAATATTTATAACTATATTAGCAACAAAAATAATTAGTAACAGGATTCATGACTCATTTTAATCACATTCAGTATCTACAGATTTCAGCAGCTACAAGACATTGTTTTTGGATCAATCTTTCAGATCACAGGTTACTCAAAAMTATAAGGACCACAATATCAAATGTTTGATGAGAGAACAGAGTAAGAGAACCCTCCTATCTTACATCACTCATTTCCTAATGAAAAAACCTTTTCTGCACATTCTATTTTTATTACAACAATCTAATTTCCTTTTTCTCTGATAACACAGGGCTCAAATCTTAGATTTTATATTGTTTTGATGAAAGATTGAACAAAACTCTTCCATGTTTGCCCCTTGCTCATCAAACATGACCTTTGAACTTTGTTTCCTATCACTGACTGATGGTGGAGCAATGCAAACCTGACTGCCTTTGTGCCTGCCCACTCCAGAAATAGAAAGCTGATAAAAGCAATAGATGAGATAGGAGCAGGCAAACATTTGTTGAATCAGTGTTCTGTGGCTTAGAGGGGTTTTTTTGAGCCCTTAACCCAGCAGACTGTAACAGCTAAGGATGTCTAAACCAAGAAACACTTGAGGGAATTTCACCACTGAGCAAGAGTGGGGGATAGAGGACGTGCAACATCTTAGGCTGTTCCTAACGTTACAAGCTCCAATTATTTTTCTTTTCTAAATCCAGATTTATTGTTTGAGGCCATCACTAAGATGTTCTTTGCTTTTCCACGACGAAACAGATGGCATAAATGTGCCCTGCAATTTTATTGCTGTGTTACAATTTCACCGTGTCATGCTCAAACCAATGGGTTCATTCAGTCTGCAACAAAACCTGCATTCTGCAGTGCTGCCAGTGGGTAAACTGAATAAAATGGCAGCTGAAATAGTTTCAAGTTGGCAAATCAATATTTCATTGTTTGTCTCATACAGGTTTATTAGCRATAGAAGCAAAGCTCAACAACAGATAAAAGCTTGGAATGGTTTCTTGGAAAAATGTGATGACAATAGACTTGTGCACAGCTACTGCATTTTTAATATTTTCGTGTTTTAGTACATCTTTTTCAACATGATGAGATTAGACAAAATTGCCCAATTCTGTTCTCTGTAAGGCTGGTCAAACCAATGGCTGAAAGGTTTACCTTGGCACAGGTGAGAATAAAACAGAGAGCCTAATGTGTGAAGAGGTGTTCTGAAGAGTGTTCAGTTCAAGAGGARCATGACTAAAGGGAAAAGCCCTGAAATACAGCAGGATTTAACTCTTTACAGTCCTTTATTGGTGCTTTTCAACCACAGCAAGAGCCAATTGTTCAACTTTTTTTTTTTTTTTCTTACAGCCAGAGGCAGCTACAGGAACTTGCTACTCTCGCCTCAGAGGGATTCCTGTACCCAAGGAGAGTGGGGTTGATATATGAATCCAGGAACATTTGTAGAAATCCACTCCCTTAATTTCTTAAGCTGAATACAGCAGGCCAAACTCTATTCTTACTGACAGAGGCTTAAAAGGGAAATGACAATAAAAATACTGCAAATRCCTTGGCTCTAGGGGACACTTTAGCTGCTTGCCCTGCAGAGATAACCTTATTCACACCATCAAGGGAGCAGAGAGGTGACTTGAAAAGACCCTGAGGAATAAAAACACCGYCAGGTGAGACAGTCACTGCAAGGCTGGGATAACTTCAGCATCCCTGCCTGCCTCCCTCCACACCAAGCAGCCTCTGATTAACMATCTCTGGAAGCTGCATCTTTCACACAGATTSCACCAGTGCCTGCACCGGCCCATCSWGTTTAGCAGATCCGTRTCTCTGGTTGCTCTGGAGGGTGGCTGGCACTGTSTGACTGGTTCAATATCCCCATTTTGATCTCCCTGCWGTGGATTTCCTGGGTATCTTGATACCAACCACATAATGAAGGCAGGTCGGTACAAAACAGAGAAGCATGTGTTAACTTGATCCAAATGTAGACAATAAAATTATTAAGGCACCAGAGAACAAAACCAAGGGCTTTGGAGGACTTTTAAACAACTACTACAGAAGTAATTACTTCAACTGAACTGGCCTCTTCCTTTTCTTCTTTTTCTCTCTTTTTCTCTTTTTTTTTTTTTTTTTTTTTTTTTTTTAAAAAAAAAAAAAAAACCCTACTAGTCTATTATTTAATTGTACCACTTTCTTTAGATTTGGCATGAAGAGACCTTTTAACATATCTGAGTGCCCTTTGAATAATTAGATTTGCAAAACTTACCCTGTAGCATTCTATTAATTATCTCACCTGCCAGCAGTTTAAATAATGAAGTGAAGAACACAACTTGTATCAGGCACTGGACAGTGATGGCAGGAACATTTTCAAGGTACCTTCACAGGATTTCTTTAAACTTCCTTCAAAGCCATGTAAAAAACAGGCAGCTTTTAGAACGTGCCCCAAAGAAGTCAAAATTAAGGCCACACAAGTAAGAGAGACAGGGGCAGGACCTGGAAAGCTTCTGATGCTCACCTGGCCTCCTTTGCAGCACAAATGCAGCGAGGTTGAAGTGAGGTTAACTGTGAGCAAGTCACTCATTTGTCATCGTCAYCAGCACAGAGGAGGTGCCGGATGAAAGGTCCAGAGGCTGCAGCTGGATTTGAAATCCTGTGTGAGGCAACAAAATGAACTCCACAGGCCTCCATCCTTGGCAAACCCTGGCACAAAGAGCTGCTGGGAAAGGGCAGGACAGAGGGAGGTGAATGCTTTGGTGATGAGGGGTAGCACTGCTCAGCTGCTTGAGGGCATTTTGCACATCCCAAAACAGGACTCTGGGAATGGGGCTTATACCTTTGGTGTCGCTTTGGGAGAAGCCTTTTCAGCATGAAATGAGCACAAAATGCAGTGCAGGGAGTACTGGTGAAGTGAAATAGCTTAGCATCAACAAGATAAACACAGCAATCTGGAAATGTCTGGACAAATGAGCAATGTGGGTTGATCTTTCTTCAGTCATGTTGCCAGGAGACATCACCATAGTCAATCATAAAATTATCAGCTGCTGCTACTCAGGATTTTTTTAATAAACACTTCTATACTGAAGAGTAATTCAGTGAAGCTAAAATTGCTTATGGGACCATGCCAGTTTTGACAAAAACAAGCAACAAAACCTACAGTGGTAAAGACTTCTCAGGTTCCAGATGAAATTTGGAATAAAGTGTAATACCAAGGTTGGTGTCACCAGCAYACCAAAAAATCAAGAGAGCAGCTTGAACCCACACCCTATGATATCCCTTAACAGAAATATACTGGTCTGCTTTCCAACAATCTGTAAGAAATTAGTAAGTAAATTAAGTCCCTGTTAAGTTGCTTAAATTCTCTATACTCAGAGATCTGCATACACTACAGAGAATTTAAAAGGATTTTGAAGCTTGAGAAAGACTGCAAGCCTAGTCTAATGTTCAGAGCTGTCTAATGCCCTGCACAAGAGGAAGCACAAGTTCAAATCCTTGCTGCAGGGCTGTGGGTGAAGGTCAGGGGWAGAGCCAGCCTTCCTCAGGGGCTGGGGGTTTGCTGACAGCTTGGCATTAGGATCAGGATTTTGTGAACAATTTTCAGGAAGTCAATGCTGGGTTATGCAGAACAGTAAATGTTGAAAATGTTGAAAACACTGCAGGACAGAAACTCCTTTTTTTAAATGCTCCTGCCAATGGAGATGGTAGAGCTTTCATGGAGCCAAGCTGCCTGTGAGGAAAGGCTGGAAGGTAATGAGGGTGGAAGCACATTTAGGCAAGGAAAAGGTAAACTAAGCCACAAGTAACACTTCATAAAGCTGAAAAAAAATATTGAAGAGAAAATAACATTAGAAATTATTTTCAAAACTACATTTCTTCTAGAGAATCTGCACAATAAAAGTAGCAACTGTTATGCACTTTGATATAGGAGTATGTGAAAGCTTTAAAGAGGAGGAGAAAAAGAATGTATCATTAATCATCACTTTTATTAAACAAAATGCAAAAACCAGCAAGCGAAGGGAAAAAACTCTAACCCATCCAGAAAAATGAAAAAAAAAAAAAAATGAAACACATAGCTCTTCATGATTACATGTGTATTTTACTTTCACCCATCTGTAAGGAAAGCCTATGGTTAGAACAGAACCACCAACAGAAAAGCAGACATAACAAAAGCAAAAGGGAAAAATAACAACTCTAATAGTAAATGGAAACAAATTACTTGTGCTAAGAAGATTTAGGGGTACTAGCTGGAGAAAATGTTTGAGCTGGTCACATTGCCCTTGCTTTTCTTTGACAGTACCATTTTTCACAGAAAGGCCTGGCAAGAAACGCTGCCTGCAGTGGTTTTCATCTTGGCCATAACCCAGGTGAGGTGGCTGCATTCAGACTGGTGAAAAGGCCACAGGTGATAACAGAGACTGCACCTCACCGTGGGTCACAGCAGGCTCAGACCTTCCCCTGGTCCCAAACGCTGGGTCCACCCTTGGCTCTTTGTCCAGCACTGAAACACTGCCTGGCCTGGCTGTGAGCAGAGCAGCAAGGGCAGGGGAGGAAAGSAGGGAARCCTGGGCCCCASAGCCACCTGGGTAYRGATGTTTGTCACCAAACAAAKGACTYGAGCTCCCGTGCACAGCCAAGAGSGGCTTCTGYGCCACTGCCAGCGGCRAGAGCTGAGGGAGAAAAKAAAGAAAAATCAAATTGGGAGCCTCTGACCCATGGAATTGATCCAGGATCTGTTGTGTGGGAAAACACATCCCACACCATGGGAAAGGCCAGGGAGACAGTCTGGTACAGATTATTCCTTATGCAGAGATTTCATTGCTGGCAGTACCAAAATGAATTTTTTAATACTTGTTTCCTGCTTGCTTTAAGTTCCTCAGCTAACCCTGGGAGTCACACAGTTATGTACAATGCTTCCAAGTGGAGAAGGAAACAGCAGGACACACTGAAAGTTGTCCTTCTSATTCTCAGGCTTTGTTTCTAAGGGGACAAAAAGCACAGCAGTCAGTGTGTCTTTACTGCAGGCTACACAGTCGGACAGAGATGGATAGTCAAAGAGGACACAGGTCCTAATATTGCAGCAAATATTGTTGCAGAGATCTAAATGGTATAATAGAATATGTATAATATGCTGTATAGTATATGTGCTGGAGATATCTRTATCTATCTATAGACAGACARATATGGTCAAGAGAGCTTAAGCAAAGCCTTTCTTGCACTGACAAGTCACTTAGCATTCAATACAATAATGAAAAATACAATTACTGAGRTACCCCCACAGAAGAAAAGTGTAGTTGAACTTCCTGGCAAAACTCAAAGTTCAATTACCCTGTAGCAAATCAATCAAATGCGTGTGCAGCAAGCAATGAAATAGTACAGATGTCACCTCAGTGCATTCAGCTGAACATGGTGTTCCTTCTTTTTAAAAATCAGCAAGTGGCACTAGGAGACATTTACAAAGCTCACATTATGCAGAAGATAAAAAGAAATCTATCARTGTGATTTAGAGCAGCACAGCACAGTGCTCAGGGCATGAGAAACAATAAATAATGAACATTCATCACAGGTAACCTGCGCAATGATGTGATTTTTATAGACACAGAGATTCATGGCACCAGTTTAGCACTGTACCCCCTGTTTGCACAGCTGGGAGCCAGAGCTGCAGGGACAGCCTGCACAGAGCCATGTGCACACACATCAGCCCACACTGATGGATGTGAGGCCATCACAATGAGTGTGTGCACAGCAAACCCCTTAACCCAGGGCAGAGTGTCCTGTTTGGATGGTGCTGGCCCGGGATACAGCAATAAAAGCTTCCCAAGGRGAGCATGGGGCCACAGTGTGCACTGACAGCTTGGGAACTCACTGSTCTTGGCTGCTTTGAGCACCTCTCTCTGCCCTTTTGTTTATGAGCAGCACARAACTGCATTTGGGTTCACAGCTCTGAGACACAAACCTCGCTCTGGGCTTCACCTGTCCCTAGGCCCTGCACTGGTGAGCAATCCCACTTTATTGGGATTTATTGGGACACTTTATCCCAATTACCAGAGCAGGAAGGGGACACACACTTTGTGCTGCCTGGAATGGAGACCTTCGGTTTGCAGCAGGGATCATTGTGCAAGGCTGGGTTTGGTTTTGTTCTCTGTTAATTCATCATTCCTAGAGCTGCCATGAAATTCTGTAATCACTTTCAGGTGGTTGAAGTGACCTTTGAAATTACATCCTACAACTTCAAAGTATTTTGCTAGAGTTTMCTTTCCTTCAGCCTATGACTTATTTTGCTATGGCTACAACAAATCACAGAATATTCTGAGTTGGAAGGGACTCAGATGGATCATCAAGTCCAGCTCTTAARTGAACAGCCTGCACAGGTTCTGAACTCACAACCTTGGTGGTGTTAACAACAGGCTCTAAGCTAATGAGCTCATCTTGGTGTTAAATGTTTTTTTTTTTTTTAATCGGAAATTATACTAATTCACAAATCTGATCAAAACTGAGCCTGAACTTTGAAGCAACAGACTTGTCACCTGCAAACAAAATTATATTTGCATTTTATATCATCAAAACAATTGATTCATGCAACTGATTAAGTCCACAGAATGATGGAAATGAAAAGACCACTTAAATACACAAGGTAAATATTGTAATTGTGTAAAATCGGTATTTCAAAACATTAGAGGCATCTTAAAAATTTTTATTTAGCATATTGAAAAACAAATGTTACAAAAAATTTTCTATAAACATAGGCAAAAATGTTTAAATAGGATAATTTAATGTAAACCAAACCCCTTTAAAATACACAATACTGTAATCAGAGGTTATTTACATCCAGTGAAGAGAGAACAACCTTCACTAATGTTAATATTATCAAAGCAAATAATTAATTTCCATAATTTCTTAAAACAGTGTCAACTTTAAGTTAGTTTTAGTAGCTAAATCATTTCAGTCCTAATAMAAGATGAAATCAAATGTTACATTCAGAAGTGGGGAAGGCTGACTATTCATGTCATCAGTCAGCACTGCATTCAGAGCTGCAAAACCTTAGAGAGATATGACTATAAATTTATATTTATTGCATGACAATGCAGTTACAGGATAGGTGAAACAACAAGGAAAAAAAAGCTGTATAAAACCCCAGTACAAATAAAATTTTATTTTTCAATTAGKTTAGAAAAGCCAACCACAAGACTAAGCTATTTTCCCCATTTCACAAAACAGAACAAAACAATTTATAATTTGACACTATTCCAACATGGAGAAAACTGTTCATGTCTCGGAGGAAATACATTTGCACAACTGTCCCACATAGGTTTCATTTAAATATTAAATTTATTCACCAAGACATAAATTTATAGCCCACAATGGCTTTCATGCTCATGTACATGGAAAAGGCATTGTCCAATTAATTCAACTCATAGATCACTTTAAGTTTTTGGTTGTGACTTTTTTTTTGGAATGGCAAGCATTAATTTTAGATTGCACATAAAAGTATCTACAGGACACAGTAACAGGATCAATAGGAGCCAGAGACAAACCTTTTAAAAGTGGCAGTGGAATACAGAGTAAAGAAAAGACAGAAAGAAAAAAGTGAAAAGCCAGCTCATCTCCAAACTACTAAACCAGACTGCCCATGTTCAGGGGATGAYGATGGCTGCTTAACAACCTAGTGTGAAATGGGTGATCTCCATGCATTTCCTACAGGAAAGTCCCATATCCTGACAAGGAAGTTACTGCTAAAACTATCTGCGCTGGCAGGCACAAGAGGTGCCAATATGGCACAGACACTGAAGCACCAGCTCTTTTTGAGGTGGTTTGTGCAYGCTGGGATGAGGCACTTTGTTCTGGCAACACCTGCCTAGAGCAGGTGTATTTATTAACTCTTGCTCRTTGTGAAAGGAGCTTTAACTTCCAYSAGTGGCAATTYRGGAATCACAARAGCTAAAACCACTTCAAAAGAAAAGGTCTCACAGTCCACAAACAAGACCCAGGCAATCTTTACTACAAGTGTCCAAAACATATTGTACTTACCCATCTATCTTAATATATTTATTATATATAATGAATATATGTAAGAGCTATACTTTTGACAGTGGAGTCAGGAGTTTGGCCAGGAGCTCATCTCTAATACAAYTTGCCTTAGCAGCTGAAGATCCCCAGCAGGCAATGTAGGCAACCTACTCTCTGCCAAAAATAAAGCTCCTGAATCCTCCTGTCAATATATTCTTGTCAAGAATATTAGATCATATTCTTATCAAAGTGTGCACATGCACACTCATCTATAACCATACATTTCCTTCCAGTCTCCTGCCACAAAAATCCTTTGGGAAAAGATGGGCCAAGCCCCCATGAGAGGGACATAAAGAGATGGCAGTCATTTGGGATATTTGAAACAAGACAGTTTGGGTTTCTGTTGTAAGAAAGCCAATATATCATAATTTAGTTCTTCAGGGCTCAATATATTTAATTTGGTGCTAATTGATTAGTAGAACACAGAACAGCACTAAGCTAATGCCATGCTACATTGGCATGGGAAGAAAGAAAACTGAACCTTAATACTCAGAAATTAAACCAAGCAATTTTACTTTTAAATCAACCTGTGAAAAAAGAACCACCACACTAAAATTTCTACCACCTTAACTATCATCCGCATCTAAAGCAGGTGGATAAAATTCTGCACAGGCCTGTAAATAACTTGCATCCATCTCTTCAGCCTCAAAAAGYCATTCCACACTAATGCTTGGGGTTATGTCTGTGTGTTCTTAGAATTCCTTGCTGGAATGGATAAGCACTAAATGTAGTTTTTGTTAAAAAAGGGATCTTTATTCTCTGCAAAGAATTTCCACAGGCACCAATAGAAGGTGCAGACAAGGTACATGTGAGTAGGCAAGAGAATCTGAGAATTTGAGGAAGGGGTTCACAGCTGGGAGAACCTTAAGGAAGGTTTTGATAGTTGGGGAAAAAAGGAAGTCACAGACACTGAATTTCTTTCCTTTTCCCCTTTTAAAAAGGAAAGTAATGCCTTTGGGTTTATGTGCTATAGATAACATCCTGGTCCCAGTAGGAAGTCCATGATCAGGATTTTATCCACCCTTGAGTACTTCAGTAAAACTGTTGCATGAACTTTTGAGTTCTGAAGTTAAYATATGCACACTTGTCACCTCTAGAATACAAAGTAAAACCAGATAGGGAAACAGGAAAGGCAGAACACAGACAAAAACCTAAACCAATAAATTCACCAATTAGTGTCTTGAATTGTCAGCTTCTAAACATTTACAGAATTTTGAGCTGTAATACCAAAAGCTTTAGAATACACCTCTCCTGCTAGGACTCTGCAATTATTGCTCTTACACCAGCATTCTCTACAYGAGATCCTGGTTTGAACACAAAGTCTCCCAGCCTCCCGAGGGCCAGGGGAGGGGTGCAGCATGTAACAAAAATCCAAGTGAGAAAAAGGAACCAACCAAACAAGAGRCAATACTGCAAAATCAGTCCCCTCTAGTGTGATAACTATGAAAATGTTGCTTAAGRATTCCCTATTGCAGGGAATTCTGACCGTCTGCAGTAAGAAAGAGGAGGGGGATCCTACCAATCTTGTGGGGAATGTGGACAATGTTTGGAATAAAACAAGTGACATCCTTTAAAACAGAGGTACTTGTGAGAAATATGACAGAGCACCACATCTGTATCTGCACTACACTCTCAATACAGATTTTTTTTTTTTTAACCTTCTATGGGAAAAAAAAAAAACCCCAAATCCAAAGACAGAGTGAACCTAAAAAAGGTGAAATTCATTGTACAAGTCCGTTAAATTACGGAAATGCATAATAAGCCAAGATAAAGTGCTACAAAATGATTACTGATTTTTAAAAGGTCCATGGCATTCTTCTTGGTTTATTTAGTACTGGTGACAATGGGAGTTAGTGCAATGGCACCGGCTGAGCTGGAATTCACAATGTCTTCATATTGTGGGGGTGGATCTAAATGCTGCTCAGTTTCGCTTCTTCTCACACTGATTTCCCCAGTGGCTTCCTCATAGGAGGGAGGAGGATCACAGTTTGAGAGCCTTGTGGATATTGAGTCTGACCGTGCATCCGAATAGCTCAGACCTCCTGGAGAGAGCCCACTGACTTCATACATTTCCTCCTGTGGGGAATGAACAATGCTGAGAGGCGGCGGGAGGGGCCCTCTGCCGTCAGCACCATCGCCCAGCGCTCCGTGGGCTCCCCTGTGCACGTACACCGACTGCCTACGCATTTTCTTTTTAAACAGGCATSTCCAGATGACAAAAATGACAATGAGGATAACAAAAAGGCCAATGATTAATGGAAATGCAAGGTAAAATGAATACCAGCTATGTCCTGTGTTACTTTCTCCCTGGAGTCCGTTTTTGTAGACTTTCCAGAACTCCTTCTAGAAGAGCAAGACACAACACGTCAGAAATTATAACACAGTTAATAAGCAATGTAAGCAAGTTGTTTTAAAGAATGAGGGRAAAAAAAGGCATTTCAAATACTGATGATTAAAATAAGAACTGGCATGGATAAGCACACACAAGCTTTCAATTTTTCTTCTCGTGTGATCAGTGATACAAAAGGGATTTGGYTTTTAAAAACAAACTCCTCACTGTTTTCAATATTCTTGTGTCTGCACTCTTATGTTTACAAACATGCAGCACAGACAGGACTAAGCAATAATACACAAAGAAAAGGAAAAAAAAAACCCAACCATAGAGCAAACTAGGAGAAAAATATCTCAAAAGCCCATGCCTAATCAGCATGCACATCAGTGGTGGATCAGAATGTGTCAGCACCATTCAAGATACAAGTCTAGGCTTTGTTTGTTTTAAAATTGCAATGATACACTAGTACAATTTGACAGGGAAGCACTGGCTCACAATGACAGAACATTTTGGCAAAGCACAACTATGCTGTACTGTCTTACCATAATTTAGACATCCCCCACCCTCTGGCTCATTAGGCAATTGCTGTCAGCTTATTTTGAGTTGATCCAGATCCTCTGTTTACAGTTAAAAATAGCTCCAAACTATGAAACTATTACACAGGGTTTTACATTCTAGAAACCTTGACAACATAGCTACAGATAAATGGAACATAAAGTGAAAATATGAGCAAGTGAAAATAAGATGAAGGAGGACACCAATACTTGAAAGTCCTCTTTGTTATAATAATATGTGCAAGTGGGAGCACAAAGATCATGTTACCATCCAATTTCCTCTGCAGCAAATGCTATAATTAAACAGTACAACAGAAAAGCATACCCTGCCTCAAGAGTAGCCATCCTCACCTGTAATGTAAGATCTCTTCTACTATGAAACACTTCCACTGTTTTATAGTCATAATTTAGTATATTTTAGTATATTATAGTATAAGAAAAAAAAAGAAATTGCAATTAATAACACCCCCCAATCCACACCAGAAACTCTGAACTCTTAAATTTTCTTTAAAAATGCACAGACCTGACCCCATCCTGCACCTGCCAGCATCACATTAATTTTAAATGACAGTACACATTTCATGCAACTATTTATAGAATAGTCACCAGGTAGAATTGAAACTGTCATTGCTCAGTTGTTGGTAAATGATGTATTCAGGTTGCAAATCAGATTAATCAGTTTTTTTTAGTTCAGGCCTGCTGTCACATGATGAGCATTAGACAGAAAATGCCACCAACTTCAACTCCTGCACCAATCCAGGATCAGGCATTTTCCCTAAATTTCAAGGCTTGACACCACAAGCAGTTTGTCACAACGCTCCTCTTTGATGTGAACCCAAATCTTCTAAGCTTAAGTCAGGTGGCATTGGTTTCCAGCAAAGCAAGAAATTCTGGGAAGATGGACTCTAAATACTTCTCTACAAGGGTCCTCCTTGATGTGTGTACCACAGTGAACCCCAGACCAGTTTTGAGTTTGGAAAAATGTATTTGGGGAGGAACTAACATTGAAAAATGCCATTAGCTGCACAACTGAGGGCTGTTGGGGTCTCTGCATGATAAAATCTGGCAGAAACAAACACCTCAGCCTCTCCCCACTAGACTACCAGGTAATTAAGCATGCCTCTTACTTTTGCATCTGGTTCGAATACAGCTGAGTATATTGCTTAGTGTGATAAATAGTAAATGGTAGACTAAAAAAAGCAGAAAAGGATTAATTAAGATTATGAAATGCTACTGTATGTACTGGAACCAAACTTCCCACATCACTATGGTCTCAGTGGCAGCAAAAAAAAAAAAAATGGTACAATATTTATTTTTAAGACCAAAGTTGCAAAGATTTACTGAAAGTCATTAAATACACTGTGCAAGGATATGTCATTTTAAAGACTCTCTGGAGGAGAAAGGTAGTTTTGATGAATAAAGAAGAAATCTCACTTCTCCCCCAACAATCTATTTTGCGTGCAGACTGCAGAGGAAATGCACCTTCTCCATCAGAAGGTTAGTAAGTAGTGACTTTTAGCAGGTATTTTAATACTGCTTCCATGTTACTTCTAGGTCAGCTCTATCTGCTGTGGAAAATGCCTCTGTATTTTCAGAAAGCTGAAACAGCAGCGTCACTCCTTGGCACTCTGCAACACAGCAAAGCAGCAGAAAAGCTGTTCTGTTCCCCCAGAGTGGCAGGCACTTACAGCAGAATAGGGTGTGTGGCTTTGGGGATCTTTGACTTGTGATGTGACCAGACAGGTGCACAAAGAGCTTAAGGTAAGAGTTTAAACTGCCTTAAGGATGAAAGTAGYTTATTGTCCTCTTTCATTTACATGCAAGGCAAAGAAAATTCAAGACAGTTTAGACACTCCTCACCCTCTGGTCAAAAATTACTTTAGGTCTAAACACTGTCTTACAGAGACAGAGGAATAAAGTTCTGCACAAAGGTGAAAAACACTAAGAAACGCTTAGTCATAAAAAAGAAAAAAGTCTTCAAATGCTCTCCTTCAGGGGAAAAGAAAAAAAAACAACCACCACAAAAAACAACCCCACAAAAATAACCTTGTTAGCCTACTAGATCCCATGTTTCCAGCTTGCATTTTTGCAATTCAGATCTCCAAGAGAAGCACAAAGACTTTTAGTTCCAGACTGCCACAACKGACAGGAACTGCAGGAAACTCCTCCTTCAGGTTTGAGTTGCACAGCTGCCAAGTTGCAAACTCTCCCTCTGCTCTGCCACCCCACAGCTACACTGCAGAGTAAAGTGATGGTGCAGGARGAGTACAGCACATCTGGACAAAGTCAAATCCTGCCCAACAAAGCCATARACAACTTAGATGAATTTGCACAGTGTGAGGATTTGTACAAACTGCTGTGTAAAAGACCAAGAGGTGAAAATACTGAAAAGTTACAAAGCTGTAAAATTCATACAGCAAGTTAAAGAGTAATTTAAAGCTGGAAAACTCAAAGCCCAGAAATCCCTCCCACGATTGCTGGTCTCTAAAACTAACAACAGAAAGGACTTTCTGCTGGACAAAATTACTAACTTGTGATTAATGAAAAGGACACTTCAATAATCCTTTCTCCCTGAGTGCTGTACAACTGGGAAAACCAGGTGTAAAAGCCTTATAAGGCTGAAAAACTAAGTTAAGCAGGCCACAAAATCAGATAACTGCAATGGAAAAGACTTAGAAAACATCTAACATATATTCCTGCCAAGAACTACTTTTCTGAATGTATCTTAGTGCTTTGGCAAATCCAGTTTGAAATAATAAAAAGAAATTCTCAAAGGCATMCCAAAGACAGTTACAGCAAAATTTGCTAGAATTTTGTTTCCCTCTTATTTGTATTACTTCTCAGAGCAGAGTTAGCATCAGGCAACTGGATCTGAATGGTGAATCAAATCAGGCATCCACAAGGAAGTCAAGAGACTCACACCCTCTTCAGAATTTCAAGAGGCCTTYGCTTGAGGCCTTTACTGAATTTGGCAGCATTGATAGCCTCAAATGATCCTTTGCCAGTTGCCTGACCTGTTTTAAAGGTGGACTGATAAGAAGCCAGTCAGAAGACTGCTTGGTATTTGCCAGCCAGAGAGTGAGAACAAAGCAATAAGGGGAAGTGAGTGCACCTCCTACACTGTTTTCTTCTGCTCTGCCCCCAATTCCAGGCGGCAGGAAAAGATTCACCTCTTCTCTTCTGAGAATTTATCCAGCATCTATAATTACACACAGATTGACACTGGAAGTCTGACTCAATCACTTTATTTTAGATCTGGTGCCGACAAGTTTTGAGGTGCTTACTAAGCCTTTTAGTGGCAATTTGTTTTGCGTGAATAAAGCAACACAGAGAACTTGGCAATTTTCACAATACTTAAAACATGGGAAATTTGCAACATGAATAAAAACCTGTGAGTTCCAGCTTATAAAATCTTCATGCACTTTAAATTAARAAGAATTGAGTTAATGGAATCAAATTGATACCAGTGCTACAATCACAGATGCTTGGCACAATAACATCTGAATAAATCTGATAACCTGATAAACCTCTGATTCCTGACCAGTGACCTCCTCCAGGCTACAGGCAYCATCAATAAACAGCTTTACAAGATCAGACCTAGGGCTCACCTCATCTGTCAACTTCTCTCCAACAATAATCTTTAGAGACCACTGAAAGAAGARTTCAAACACAAGCARGCAGTGATRTTCTCCAAATTTCACATATCTGTAYTACCACAACTTCCATTAGCCAAAGCTGAGATTCCTTTCAATTAATGTTTCCAGGCTGATTTATCTTGCCTTCATTTACATTGTTCTCTGAACCCATACAAGCTTTTAGGATCTGAGATACCCTGTGGCAAGGCAGTCCATAGGTCTATTAGCTGTGGTGAGGAAAGACTTCTGTCTGCTTTGTAACTGCACCTTCCAGTCTCCTTTGAGGCCCTCTTAGCTCTGCTATCAGAAGGATGGCAAGTGACTGACTTCAACTCACCCTTTGTCTCACAGACATCATCACATGTTCCCTGATTCAATTATTTTATGATCTATTCTCACTATACAAGTCTCTTCATATCTTTGATTGATTGTCACACTTCTCAGGTCCTTCCTCAGCTACTAATTTGCTTTTAAAGAGATAGGGAGATGAGAGTTGTACACATTCAAGATGTGGGTAAGCTCTTTATTATAATCCCTGTTCCTTTATTTAAGATTCTTAGAACTCAAGGTTTTTTAATTTTGTTTTGGCTTTGTTTGACTACTCAGCATTAAACTGAAGTCTTCATAATTGAAATTCAGATCTTGTTCCTGARTTCAGTTCAGAGCCAATCATATATTATAATGAATGTTCCCATTTCCTCCACATGCATTACATTTATCAACACAGAATTTCATRTTCTATTTTACCATGAAGTCCTGCAAATTCTTCCCTGTTGGCTCTAGCTTAACATAAAAGTTCTATCTTYATAATTAACTTTACAGTTTTAAAAAATAATTCTGAATCTGTCAAAATCCCCAAGCCTGTCTTAGAAATAWTAAATGACATGTATGCACACTTAACATACAAAATGCTACTTAAAAAATCATGCACCAAAAATAACTTCAGGGAACTGCTTGATATTCTTTTAATATTACAAATCTTGTTGCAGACCTGCCCTGAAGACTGTAGGAAAACAAAGAAGMAAGTAGACAAGATAAAAAAGAAATACAAAGAGAGATTACACAAAAGGTTACCATGACATAAATAAGCTACAGACCCTATCTGAATTCCTTTCTATCTGTACTAAGAAAGTTGCATTTCTCTGAATATACTGTATCATGTTCCCAGTCTACTGCATCCATTCTCTTCCTCTGGGACACAGATATAAAGTATTGCTAAGTGGCTGTATGGATGGATACTGCTGGGGCACAATACACTAAATCAAGTCCCAGTAAATGAGGCTGGTCAGGAATAACTGCACATTAGCAGAGCCTGGCCATTAGCAACTCCCCACAGCAGAAAACAACAGCCAGGGAAAAAGGACACAGTATTGGAAATGGATAAAAGGTCAGGACCTTATTGGAAGCTCCCTCACTACTTGTGACAGAAAAGAAATGTAACTCTTTCTATTTTACTACTTCCCAAACACCTCTGAAAAAGGGAAATGCTAATTACCATAACAAAAAAAAATGTTTCTAAATGGGAGAAAAGTTAGAGACAACATATTTAGGTTATGCTTTCTCTAGTGACTGGAACAAAAAGCAAAAGTGATATTGTGTTACAATTTTTTTTACAAGTTGTCTCACTGCACATACTATTCTTTATTATACAATGAGCTATCATTAGAATAGTTTCACCAAGTTTGGGAAGTGAAAAATGTGTGCAGGCTTTCAACAGCTTCAGAAAGAAGCAGCTTTGAAGACGCCACATGTCCTACAACTTCATTTTATTAAATCAGAAAATCTTCATTCCAGCCCTTTCCATCACTCCAGCTATGACTCCCAACAAAAAGATGCCAAGAACTTAAAATGTCCAGTATGCCTTTACATATTGCTATTTTTTTACGTACAGCTCAGCCACTGAGAGTAGGAATGTGTCACCTGTGTAAATTTTGGAAGAAATCTGCAATGTTCCCTGTGCCACTCTGACTACTACATCACTGGCCTTGCCAGTACAATTTCCCCACGCAAACCCCAAATCTAATGCAATGTTGGAAAACACACAAGCACTCAGCACACCCAAAAGTTTMGTATCAATACACCCCACCCATCTTTACATACACAACAAAACATACCGTTTTYTCCTCATTTTCAAATGCTTCTCTTGCTTCTTCATAACTACAGATTTCTTCTCTGCATTCATGTTCTATGTCACCTTGCTTTATTTCTTCCAGAAACGTGTTGGCTCTTGGGTATCTTTTTAACACRGAGTTGGCTTTGTCCTCTGTTAAGAACACTGAATAAGAAGAGGAGAGACAATAAAAGGTCACTTCTAAAATAGACACCCAAAACTTCATGCTAAAATTGCTCAAAGAAAATGTGCCTTTGAGAAAAAGCTTCTTCAAAGTCTTCCCCTTTATTTGATATGATAAAAGGCCTTTCCTAGTTTTGCTCACTGTTTTAAGTAGTTGGGCCTACAATTTCAGTAGCTATTGCTAAAATGTCATAAATGCACAGACCTCAATTCAATAGCTGTGTGTGGTGAAACAAGACTGAATCTGGTGCCCAAGAGTCCTTGGAAGAGACAGGCACATGCTCAGCTCAAGCAACTTCTTAAACTGACAGAGAACAAACAAATGCTACTTGAGAACATCCAAAATGATATTTGCAACTGCCTGAGGGCATCACAACCAGAATGCTGTGAAGTTATTGATATAAATATTTATGACTGTTACCCAGAGTCACACAAACCAGAGAGCTGCATTTATCAATGTTTAAGTTTGTAAGTTTTCTTAAGCAACTTTGAAGCAGACTTGCTCCCCTCACTCCAGAAATCTCAGCCATACAGTGGGCACCCCTTTGAGGGTGTGAGGGGATGTAGCCTCTTTCTATTTTCTTGAACCATACAGAAAACCTCACTTGATTTGATGAATCAAATGAAACAACCCTAAAAGGCAACCAATGTTCTCGCACAGGTATTCTTTATTTGAGTTTCTTAGTTTACTGTTTAAGGAAGAAAGCTGGAAGCAATCTCTTTTCTTCTGATGTTCCAGCTTTCCATCAAACTCTCTGACCCAGTGATTTTTACATATGCAGTAACTGGGAACASTCCAGAATCCATCAGACTGAATTACCCAGGAGGTACATATGCAGTGCATAGTGCAGGAATTCTGCAGGTATTTCAGGTCAGGAAGCAGGAACATCAAGTCAGTGTTACACTGTTCTTGGGCTCTCAGTGCCAGCAAGAGGGGATAATGATTCAATGCACTGCCACACTACTGCACTTGTAGCACTTTCCTAGCCTACACAATCATTTGTGCATTGCTTCACTTGCAGTTAGTCTGAAGGGTTTTTTTTTTTCCTTAATCATCTGATTTTTAATGTTAGAAAATGAGGGCAGCAAGGAAACAAAGACAATCACTATATTTTTTCTTTAGAAATATGTGGTGGTMTTTGCCAGCAATGATTAGCATAATTAGGCATAACTAATTTTAAATTTCTTTAGTATCTGTGGTATTCTATCATAATGGATCGATGTGACCAGGCTACAGAGCTGGCTTCTGTGAGAAGCTGATAGAAAATTACCCCAGGTCAGTGGAGAAGGAAGGGGTGGAGTGCTCCAGGTGCCAGAGCTGGGATTCCACTGGAGCCTGTGGTGCAGACCATGGAGAGGAGTGACAGAGTGGCTTTGGGGGACACCTGGCACCCAGCCAAGGTCAGTCCATCACAACTTGGTTTCAAATCACTAGAAAAGTGATATTCCTTTTGCAAAGGATTAAATGAAGAGGTGAAAACTAAATTCCAAAACACTGACTCCTATGCTTCCAGTTGAATGCATTACAAAATGCATCATACAAAATACACTGTTTAGGATGTTGCCAGGGGTTCAGTGCATCCAATTCTACAACTGTATCTACCACAAATTTGGTTTTCTTCAGCACCACAGATAAGAACATGGACATCTCCTACTATGTTAGTTCATTGACTGAATAACATAGAAATTAATGTTCATAAACCTCTTCAAAAGGAAAGAAAAAAAGATGCCTTTTTTCTGCTTCCCACACAATTCTCCTCGCTTCCCTCTAGGCCTGAATAAATTATTTTTTTTCCGCCTCATGCCTCAGTGATCACCTCAAGGTGATGAGCTGAAGGACTCATCCATGTCAGGAATGCAGCACACAGCCATGCCTGGGGATGGACTGCCAGTGCTTTTCCTACTTCCCCCAACTCCTTGTGGGCAYTCCTGAAGGGAACATGTGTCAGCCCAGACCCTCCCAACAGTGCCCATATGTAGAGGCACTGAAGAGTAGATAATGGACTATAAATTAAGTTTCCCTTCCTCCAGCAGATRAAACTTAGGGAATTTCATTTCACAGCTGCAATCCATCCCTGAAATGAGCAATGAGAGAAACCATGATAGCTTTGTATCAGATGCAGAGGGAAAAGTAACACAGGAAAATGCAGGTAGCTGAAAAKATCCTGATGTACAGATTCTGGCTATCAGAAACAAGATACAAATACTTATTTCTGCATGCACTTTCCAATTTGCAGAGAGAATAAAGGTTTAAAAGTTGGAATGTTAAGAAATACTGCATTTGACACATATTGGTATGAGTTTCTACGTAATACCTCAGTTTTCCAAATGAGTGAATCATACATTTCTGATTCAAAATGCATTGACGGAGAACAGCAAAATGTAATTCAGTTCAAGAATGGACAATATATCACTATCTAAAACCCCCAAAGTTTTTGTTTAACAATTCATATTCAGAAAGKGTCTTCTCTCACAATAAAGTATAAAAAATGCACACATCACAGAGACAAAAAAGCCTGCTAAGGAAAATAAACTACATCTCATATTAATTATGCATGTGTCTGATAAATAACAATCTCTGGCTATTCCAGACCAGAATGCCTTTTGACGTGGTAAGGCTGGGGAATAAAATGAAGTATATTAACCTGTTTGTTTTGATGTGACATTTTTAATGCTCTGCACACTCCTAGTGACTTCAAATCCTATTGAGAAGTCAATACAAATGTATCAAGGAAACCAAGCCATGCAATTGAAATACAGGGATTTAATGAGAATCAGTCACTGCCTGATGAATCCTATAAAAAAAAAGATAATGGAAGTGTATTGCAGAAGCCACTGTGACTTCTTAGTATTCCAGGACCATAATCATGTAGATATTCAGTTACAGAGTGCACAAAAAGCCCACTTTGGGTTGGATGCCCACCTAGCTAAGCCACAGCATGGCAGAATTCACTGCAGCTGTTACTGGGGAGCTGAAAATAATCAGGAAAGACTTGAATGTGGTAAGAATAGAGGAATGAGGCAAGATAAATCACTGTTATGCAGATTAACTGGCAAATACAAGATAAAAGAAAAATCAAAATTAGTATTTTGCCATTATGTAAGATATACATAGGAACGAATCATCTGAAGTACCTTCTATTTCCCCAGTTTTTGTAGGATATAGATGAAGATATACAACTACCAAATTTAATGCATTTGAATACATTATTTCTTCAGACATGCTTGTACTGTGCATGTAACTGTAACAATTGGCTTTACCAAGTTTTTAGGCATCAGAAAGCTTCCAAAGACTTAGTTTCACTTATCATTATTGAAGAGAACAATACAGTCAGATCAATTTATTACACATCCTCTGGAAAGCCTGCCTGCTATCCTAATAGTGAATGGCTACTCCAGCAAGGTGAAATTCAATCAGAAACAGAGCAAGGCAAGGACACGAGAGGATAAATATGTTGCAGCCTGCCAGCTGAAGCTGTCACAGGGAAAGAAAACAGGCTTTAGGTCTGCAGTGACAGAAGGAGCAGGGAGCAGCRGCGTGGGAAAATATTCTGAGACACAGAAATGCCACTGAAGCAAAGCYTGGGGCATCTTGGACAACAAAACCAGCTCTATTGAGACCTTTATTGAGCTTCCTTTTTTGACTCCTTATCAACATCTAAGCAGACTAAAACCACTACTAAATAGTAAAAATAAACATTTTAGCTCTAAATTTGAAGCTGCTGCTATTAAATTAGAATCTTTCTTTAGGTCATCTTAATAAAACCATTTGGTTTGAATAGGCCTGGAAGAAGAAAAATTATTTGTGCTTTTATTAATAAAGTGACTTCTGCTCTGARAATCTAGAGTTACAGAGACAAGCTTAAAAACAATTAAAACTGGAGTACTCAAGGGTGGAAATTCAGCTCTGTGGTCTTCATTCTGTAGTCAGCTTTCAAAGGGCCATAATAAGTCTGTGATGATTTTTATGGTCTGCAAATATCTCTGTCAGAACAGTTGCRTGACTTCAGTTGAGCATGGGCAAAGATCTGTGTCACATGTAACATCAAAGCCAGTTCAATGCCAGAGGGCACCTTTTGTGCAAAGAGGCTGGGATTATGAGCAGAGGATGCTTTTGGGGTGTGTTACTGTCCACTTCACAGGAAATAATAGAGAATGCACACTCATCACTAAGTTAAACTTACCACTATCCATGGTGATTGCTGTCAAGGCAGGGAACTTGCAAATATCAAGTCTGTAAACAAAAGAGGAAAGCTCCTGTTAAGTTTGTGAATTACAATCAACTTGGAAATGGTTCTCTTGATTCCCAAATACAAATACATCAGAATTTGAAATTCYATGATCAAGATTAATCCTTCTATTGAGTTGTACCAGTACTGCATGCAGACTAATTTCAGTAGTATAGCAACACTATCCAAGCAAAAGACAACCCTTTGAAATGATGAATGCTTCAACCTTTTGCAAGGCTTTTCAAATTCAAAATATGCAAAAATGTTAATATGAAATAAGAGGGTGTGTATAAGTTTAAACAAAATGCAACCTGTTTTGCCTAATCGAACTTGAAAGGTATTACATTCTCCACTGTAATTACTTATACCTTAACTAAGACTTAAATTCACTCTGCAGAGATCATCAYGTCAACTCATTAGTCTATAGATCACATTTTTTTGAAATCAGAATGAACACATGGAAATTCATTCAGAGTCWGCTACTGATTAAAACAGGATGCCTGCATAAAGTTCAAGGGCAGAACAAGGCCTGTGACTTGGCAAAGGAAGTTGCACTACATGAGAGGATCCCAACTTGCCCTACAAGAACTTACATGTACTTTATACCTCGTCTTGGAAAGAGAAGAGACAAGAGATGCTCCCAGTTGAGAAAGTGCCTGAAGCTCATTGCACTCACCAGGCAGAGAGCCAACAAGAACTGCATCTGGAGGCAGCAAGAATAGTTCAGCTTCTTGGAGTCTTTATTGGTGTGGGAATAGTTAGGAAAATAAAAGCTTTCAGCAAAGCAAGAGCAACTGCCTATAACCAAGTTAGTAGAACACCACGAGGTTAAAGGGTATTTTATTAATAAATTACCTATTCCTAAGAGTTAGCACCAGTCTTCAGAGGCCAGGTAAAATATCAACATATCATACCACCCAGATGTCCTYACATTCCATAAATCCAAACCCTCAGAAGCAAACTTTTCTGTAAAAGTCTGTCCATGGCTGTTGCAATAAACAAAGAGGGAAAGTTTCCAGCCTGGCCTGCCCAACACCACCACTCATCATGCAAGAGCAGGTGGCAGTACTTGTAGGGACTGCTGAGGTGAATTGTGCTCCATGAAGACATGCCAGCCTGCTAACAAAACTGTAAGATTACCACTACAAGATGTGGCATGAAGGAACAAGCTGATTTTAAAGCAAGTTCATCAAATCTCTACGTATTGTAGATTGACAGAGGCAGAGGACTTTTTTTTTTTTTTCAGAATATATATAAAACCTCTTCAAATAGCCAGAATTTTTCTTAGCAGAGTATGCCAAAACAAGTGACCTTTGCCCTTTGCTTCTTGAATAAAAATGAGTGTTGTTTAATGATTAGTCACGTTGTTACAATCCAAATATCTCTGATGAAGAAATTGCCAAACTTACAAATATAAACAGGTCCCAAAAGATTAGGCTAGTGGTGTAACTATTTTCTTCATCCATTGTGTCATTATTGTCTTATGCCATTTATTACCCACCAGTTTCAGAGTGCTGCTTTTGCAACAGCCCCCCAGATAAAACAAACACTAACAGAAGAGGCAGCATGCCTGAGTGCTCTCTGTTAAGAGGGAGCAATGCAGTGAATGAAACTCACCTTCCTATGCTCCCCCTCTTGAATGGGGTCATTTTTCTGCAACAAATTTCAGTTAGTCATTAATGTTTCACCTTTTTAACAAGTAACTTATGTGTGGATTTCCACAACATTAACAAAAACCCAAACAAACTAAACAAAAACAGAACACAGGCATCCACATCTATGAGTCACAACCACTCAGATGGCTATGCCTACTTGGAACTGTGTTGGGAAAAAGTGGACTTAGTGCCTCCCCCCTGCTATGGGATGTTTTCCACCAGGAGCAGAGCAAGTCACTGCAGTTGCCTTGGCAYCTGGCACTAGGTACTTGGCATATCATGTTCTCTGGGAATGAACATCAGAGCACTGACMCACATGGGTTGTGAAACTGGGGAAAACACAAGGAGGAGAAGAAAAAAGAAAAACACAGAAGGCAAAATAACTTTTTTTTTTCAAAGGAAATTATATTGAGGACAAATAACAAAATAAAGAGCTGCTGAAGTGGCTGCAGAACAGAAAATATATTTTACTTTAGCTCCTTCATCACAGAAGGAAAAGGTATGCCCTTCTCTAGGAAATATCAAATATGACTTTTCAGTCAATAGTTGTAGAACAGAAACTTCCCTTCATCAATCTACATTAGATTYTTACAGCAATTACAAGTATTTAGARCTCTCTGGAACTAATAATGCCCATTCTCTGACAAACGTGTCTTTTCTATGTTCTCCTGACTTTCCTCTCAAACTTCTTCATTTCCAASCTACCACAAATCATAGCTTCCTGCTATGACACCCCAAAACCTACAGGGCAAGAGGTTGATTGAGGACATGGGCAATGGCTGCCCTGCCTTTACATGGACATTTCACTCATGGAACAGACTCTCCCACTGCAGAGGAAGCATTTGGGTCTTTGCCCTCTATTAATAGTCCCTTCCCCTAAAGGGAAGAAGTTTAATTATATTTTAGTCCTCTACTCTGACACTTTTGGTTCAAACTGACTAAATAGTTCAAAGGTGGCTTGGAAGAAAGGATTGAACAAAGACAAGTTCAAAACTCYTTTTTAGCGTCATAAGTTAGCTAATAAAGCTGAAGAGGGCTGGTCACACCACASGAACATCCTGACTTACTACTGACTCATTTATTCCTCTATCCAACTCTACTTAGTTTCCTGCTTTTAAATCTTCAGGAACCTTACTGAAACCTATGCTGACCCTATGGTGTCAAAGAAATGTTTTTCTTTTCTGTACAAAAATGCAAAAACAAACAYACACAGGCCCCACAATCCCTGACAGTATCTAAGTATCATAAATATTTGTTTCATGAATCCCTTGTCTATCCTTGTATAAGGCTATGCATCACCTTAGATAAGCTACAACACAGTGGACACCTGTATAGCACTACAGCCACGCTGAGTGTCCAATTCTGAGTTAATGGCAGTTGATATATCCAACCAACACGTGACCTTTCCTGACTGCCTGCTTGATAGGTTAAATGGTAGGAATGCTTAAAAAAAACCCACAAAAAACAACGAACCAAACACTTCAATAGAAACTACAATGACTCAATGGGAAACAGTGAGTTCTAAAGCCTGTGAGACAGCCAGGAAACACACCAACACCAYCTGTGCTATTTACCAGCAGTACCCTGCTCACTACCAAAGGACTGCAGCCTCTTATCAACAAGAAACAACTTGCATGMAAGTTTAAGGAATATTGTTACTAAYATTGTTACTAATATTGAAGTAACAAACCAAGCTGTACATTTAYTTCCACAACTAACCCAAATATTTTTTCTCAGTTCTGAAGGTACCCAAATCTTGCTTACACTGTAATCATAAAGCATAGAATATTTGTATACACATTTTCCAAGCTGGTAATCACATTCTAGCAGTGGCAATCTCTCAAATTGGGAAGGTAACTAATTTCAGCATTAAAAGCTGTTGTCTTAAGACAGTGTTTTTACAAGATTTTGTTGCATTTATTAGGATAACCATGTTTGGCTGGCAGGCACACACCTCTTCTGGGTACATTTCCTGACTCTAAGTTTAATGGAAACTTGTGTGCAGCACGTACCATGAAAGGACAGAGGATCTGACTGAGGGCACACAAACTGCCTGCGYTGTTCTCACTCACTGTCATGCGTTCCAAGGATACAGAACATCGAGAACAAAGYGAGTCCTTAAGGGAAGGGAGTAGAAAGGGAAGGGAAAATAAGGCTAATGTAAAGCAGCAGCAGTATTTTTCCTCACTGAGTTTCTCACCTGCTGTGTTAAAAGTGACTTCAAATGCTGCAAGGCTCCCTGTTTCTCTCACAGCTGGGGAGGGATGCACATGACAGCATCCAGGGTGGGAAGGGGGAAGTGGCTTTTTTTCATTCTGCAAAAGAACTCGGACAAGTGATGCAGCTGCTAATTCTAGTTTTGTAATCTGTACAATTCATTAAGCCMAAAAGCTATATAATTTCTTAAAGTTATAAATATTTAGGTTCTTCTGGAGCRTTTTATGAAAGCAGGTCCATTTGAGAAAAACACTGTTAACTCAAACATCAGTAGACATTCAGTCTAAAAATAAACACCCCTGTTTCAGCTCCTCAGTGCCKAATCAAGTGCAATGCAACAACTGAAACATTCCTGTGGGAGGTATGTTTAGAAGAAATATTAAAACACTATCAATCTGACTTCCTGTATAGCTATTTCATTATCTGACTGCAATTCATTCAGAATGTATGATGTGCCTACCTAAAAATCCAAATCCCACCACACATCTTTTACATGTTTGGAAAAAATGTTACAGAAGACTACAAATGCATTTATGCTTATCTACTTCCAAAGATCTTTCTCCCCAGGAAAAGCGTACCAAAGAATTAACATGGATTCAAATGCTGGAAAAATAGAGTGATTTTTTTCTGAACAGAAATTCCATAGGATATGGAAGAATCCTGTACTTATTAAGTTTAGTTTCCTTGTAACAGCAAGGTGTTCCAGGGAATTTGATGAGAATAAAGAGGGATGGAACMTTTTGCAAACTACTCTATCACACAAGGATGCAAAAGATTTATCCCACCTCAGATTACATGGGGCAAGGATAAAACAGAGAACTGCAAAACCTTRTGCTCTGTATATGCTATTAGATCACAGCATTATAAAACAACATCATTAATTWAAGCACCCCAAACCACAGATCAGATCACTAAGAGGAACCTGTATTTWGCAGACTGCCACTGCACCCTAAGCCAAATGAAACACATCATTACTCAGAGAAGGAGCATGCACAGGGCAGAGCACCRCCCTGCTAGCAGAGAGAAGGAAGCTCTTCTTGACTGCAGCTGAACAGGACTGCAGCTGGAGAGACTCAGTCTGAGCTTCTGCTTCAACTTTATTACCCCTTCTTCACTCAGTGGTTTTGTTCTGTTTAAGCTGTAGCAATCTTCTGGCTGTTTTTTCTCTGGATACTTCCAGAGGTTCAAAGGGGGAAGGAATTGCTATGAAGTAAGCTATCTCTTCCTTCCCCTCCCTTTGAAAACCAACSAAAAACATTCTCCTGATACATCTTGGTGAGCAGGACATCCGGCAGAAGTGGCAAAACCCTCTCTACAGAAGGGAGACTTTGGGTGGATTACATTGTTTTAAAACTCCTGGGGACCATTTGGGGCAGTTCCTGGGAGGCSTAAGTGAACACTTACATAACCATCTGTGTGGAAACCAGAATTCCAYAAATCCTCAAGAGACCTTGACATTCCAAACAGCCTATAGAGTAGAATTTCAGACACCTCACTCTTCTGTAAACTACTGACAGAAAACATTGCTTTAGGTTAGACAATCTATGTTTTAGGATTTCAAATTTCTAGTATTTAACTTGATAATCCATTGAAGTGTTGATATAACAATAACCAATTCCTCTCCTTTTGCAAGCGGGAATAACGAACAACTAAATMAAGCTTTCACAGCAGGATGTGTTTTCATCCTGATTTTGTTTGGACATGAAACTGATACTGTGTCACTTTATTATTTCACATTCTGCTCCTCCCTCAGTACCTTTKAACTAAAACTGACACTGAGATTTCTTCTGTGCTCCCACACATTTCTCACAAAAATCAATGCCCAAGAACAGAGAAAWCCCATTAATGCTCTCACTGAAGATGGGTTTACCAATTGTGGCAGTATCTCAGCAATCACGGTGCCTTTGGCAGCTATAAATCATAATCCATTTTGCCAGCAGAAGGTGGGCAGTCAGGAAGCAAACACCATGTCCAGGACCAGCCATAGCTCCACAGCCCTTTGCAAGGGGACAACTCAAGTAAGTTAAAGAGATGAGAAYAGGGAAGGAGTGCTGCCAGCACATGTGAGATGTCAGAATATTCTGATTTGGGGTAGCAGCTGGATGACAAGGATAAGCATATTAGGGAGTGGAGGGGAAGTCAGATAATTAGTAGGAAAGGTGAAAAGGTAACAGAGACAGGAACACAGCTTCATTATGGATCTGGTGCTCCCTGACCTAATTAGTGTTTGGGTGCCAGCTGACAAATCTAACTCAAGTTATAAGCCACCTGGATATCATCTATTCTAACTTGGGCTTGAATAGCTGGACTCTTTATCTGAAACARTTTTAGTGGCCATGAATAATAACCTCTAAGTGCATAATAATTATCTCTATTCATGCCTATACTCACATTAGCTAGGAATGCAGAGCAATAGGTGTGCACCCAAAGAGCAAAACAGTTGGTGCTGAGGACCCAACACTTACACAACACAGGTCAAGAATTTGACTTTGGGGTAGCTCTAATTTGCTTTCATGAGCTGAGCACRATGGCAGTGTCACTGCAGCTCTGAGAGTTTATCTTTTGGTTTACCCTTGTCCAAAAATAACTCAGTCTGAGTGTTTTGAAATGTTTCTRCAATGCAAACCAAAGTACAGTAAGTGGTGACAACTGGGAGATTTCTAATCTGAACCAAAATGCTACTGCAGATACACCCAACGTGCACTGTATGACCATACTCACAGCAGTAAGAAGCTGAAGAAAGAAGCTCAATATAAATGATTCCTCAGCAAAGAGCCAAAGGTTGTTACAGGGTGATAGTGAATGTTTGGGAAAAACTTCCTGTGAAGCTAGAAAATTACTCTAAGTTGACAAAAATAAATGTAATTTGAGGCTGTCACTCAAATTATAAACCAAACCAAACAATAAAACCTCTAAAAAATAAAATTTAAAAAAAAATCTCACCACAGCTAGAGATTTCTGAAGCAGTCTGTGTGCTTGTCTCTTCTCTTCAAAAGTAATGTCCTTGACATGGAAATTAGATACTGCTAATAGACAGGATACCATAGGGCCTAGACTAAGGCTAAAAACCTGAAATTCTGGAGTGATCGCTCAGAAACACCATAAGAAAACATGCACAGAGACAGCTAATCCAGGAACTATGAGACGACCCAGCCAGCCCTCATCTCCCAAAAACCTCCTTAAACAAAAAAAAAGCACATTCTCCCCACACACACACACAAAGAGTGGAAACTTGCAATTACAGACTAATTAACATCCTACWAACTAAAATTAACATCTAGTTTATGATCACCCTTACTGATATTTTCAAAAATTTCCTCTCCAAAATGTTACCAGCTTCTAAAATCATAAAGTAACACAMAAAGTCAACACATAATAAGCCAGAGAAACTACATGATCCCTTTGCTACACATTTACAGGTAGTTGRAGTGTTAAATAATGTATTGATAAAATCCTACATTATACTAGTAAATGGACAGCTGCTTATTGAATATCATGCATTTTTTAAAAAAATATAGTAAGGCAAAATAATCAATAGATCTTGCTAGCACTTTTTAAGAAAAAAAACCACACGAACTGTATCAGGATGCTGCAGAACATTTTCTTTATAGCATGTTYGCCACAACCCTCTAAATTAATAGTTTTGAATGTGCACTCATTTAATTTTCCTCCCCTGTTCTGTCTCTGCTTTCATACAAATGAAACGTTTGCATCTGTTCTGTGGATTATGCACAAGCAACTTTGATTTTGTAGTTCAGACCATCTCCTGATRTTTTACAGGCAACAAACTGACAAAATCAGCAGCTCTCAACTTCAGATGAAAACTGTATTGTATATGGGTTAAAAATTATATGTTGCAATTTATTTGAAAAGAAAAGAAATCCTTTGTGTTTTAACAATCACTGTATAACAAACCTCTGGGTTCAGAGAAAGCAGATATTCAGCTGATCTAACTGTATCACATGCAATACATTACAGCCAACTACTACTTCTCAAAACATGAGAAACTGGAGGGTACCTACTGACCTCAGATGTAAATAAGGACCTGAAATTTCACAGAGTGTCTAATTTATGCAATTTGCCACTACAGGATGCTGTTCAGTAGGAATAGATTAAAGGAAATAAAAAGGAAATCAATAATTGAGGGAGGGATTTGGTGATTACTATAACAGTTCTCTGAATGTGGCTTTTATTGGTAACTACCTGGCTGTGAAAGGAGAGAAGTGCTCAGTATGGAATGGGTAACTACATTCAGTTCCTCTCCAAAGTGGTTTAAAAGTGGATTAGGACCAGGGGAGTAAATATCAGCACATAATACCATGACACAACCAGAAATGGAGTAGATGGCTAGCGGTCTCTTTAATAGATCCTACTCACTTCCTACAATCTCCCTTTTTCATTGAYTCTGCAAAGTCAATGAAAAATCAACAAAGCATTCAGGATAAGTAGAAAGCAGATTACCTTCTGCCTTTTAAAAGCTTATATGGGTTAGGTAGGGAATGGAAAAGTAAAGAGTACTACCTGTATTTTATATTATACCTCTCCAGACGTGAGAGAGAAGGGCCAAGGAACACTCTCTGGGCACAGTCCATTCACAAAAATGTAATTTCATTGCAGGGTCAATGTCTGTACACTCAGAAAAGGTCACAAGATCAAAGCTAACAATGTACCATTTATCCTCCTCTGAAACTTTTACAGATACTTTCTTCYCCAGCAAAGCTTATAAAGCAAAGCCATGACCCAAGTGTCACAAATAATACCTTTACAGATTTTCCAGTAACACAAACTGGCTGTACAAGATTCAACCTCCAACTGTATTAATCTGTATCCAATATTCAACTCTGCTCTTTTCAYAGAAAAAGAGAGACCTGACAATTCCATACATTTGAAAAATGTTTTCCTCAACTCAGTGAAGTTTTTCTTGGAATTATTACCATATTGTGAAAGGCAAGCAGCAATAGACACTTTTGAAAAATCAGTTTCCCTCTGAACTACCAGTATTTTTCAAGTAGCTATTAAGAAAACCCAGAAAAAGTCTGGATCTCAGAATGTGCATTTTCRCAGTAAAAAGGAACCTGGATAATTTCACATTGGAATC